CCGAGTTGCGATGTTGAGTGAGAGACCGGAAAGTAAAACGCAAGTCAATGAGGAAACCCTCGTCGACTCAATACAGCACAAGAGACGATCCTTCTATGTGACGTGTCCGACTGTATAAGCGCTTCTGATTGATGACCGAGGCTCGTGATATGTAGCTCAAAGGGATGCGGTAACGGAGCGATATAATAGGAGGTCTAGGCGAACAAGGACTTGGAAGTCTAATGCAGCGGGCAAACAACACAAGTCAAGGACACTTCTTCTTCTCGTTGCGGATTGTATAGCTCAAGCTTTGGGCAATCGGTTGGTGATTGAGTGGTTGGTTGTCGATGAATCACCGCGATAAGCGTTGGGTTTGATTGCTTGCTTCGGGGAGATAAGGTGGCGATGCGAGGCGAGGCGAGGCGGAATCGTTCGGTGAGTAGAACGGTGATTGATGTGGTGTGGTGTGATGTGAGTTGAGATTGGGTTGGATTGGATTAGATAGGAATAGACAGAAGAGATGAGATAGTGAGAGAAGAGTGGCAAGCTCGAGAAGAAAGAAGGCCTTTGAAGATGCGGAAAGCGTACAAATGAAGGGAAGGAGAGGTGGAGAGACGATGATAAGAAAGAAGACAAGAGAAGAGAGAGGGTGAGTTAGAAGGGAAAGGCGGTGATGGAACCAGGTGGAGAGGGATGGACGGGGATGGATGGTGGATGGGCCATGGGCCATGGGCCATGGGATAAGTCAGGATAGGTTGGATTAGTGAGGTGAATGATTGTTCATACTGTCTGATACACCCATTTTCAAGCCCGACCCCTTCCAAGGCAGGCGAGACAGCGAGTGAGAGCCAGGTCTAGAATTGACGGGGGTGTACTTGGAGTTGCCTAGATCCACCCGCTCAGGCCCCAGCATTAGAAGGCCAGGTCCACTAGCTAAAGACATGCTGTCGTACCTTGCGTGCTGTGTTGTTGCTTGTACCGGACTAGCCGGGGTTGGGAGGAGACTGACAGGCACAGGGGATAGGCAAGCCAAGTGTACTGTACAGTAATGCAGACACACATGGCAACGCAACGATTATGACAACTACGGCAAAAAGACAGGTACAGATACGTATACACGGAAGAACAAGATGCACTGTGACCCTGTGTCCCCGTCTCTCCGTTCAGGTGCGTCAAATGTTGGGGGAGGCTTGGACGCCAGCAAAGAAGGAATGGCGCTACCGTGGGACGATACCACGACGGGCAAGGGAGGGAATGGCGGCATAAAGAAGTCAATCAAACAGAGGCAGCGATCAGAAACATTGATGGCCCGGGATTGGTGATGATGATACCCCTTCGTCTCAGAATTAGGAAGCATTGCAACGCCAGACAGACAAGTTCAATCCAAAACAAGACGGCAGAAATGAAATGAGTGAGTGAATATGAATACGCGTTATCTCGACACTGTTGCGACATACTGTATACTGGAAGCAGCCAATTCATTGCATAACTCGTATAACTGGATCATTTTTATGTATGCCGCGTTATCAAAGTTATCCGTTCCATCAATCAATCCCCCGGACAGCATACATACACCTCATAATAACGACATGACGGAATACCAACTGACATGACGACTTGCCAAATGCAGACCTAGCACTGTACTATCAAAGGACCGGCGCTGTCTAGCTCAGTGCAAACAAGGCCTCACGCGCACTGAGGGTGGAGAGCATTTACTAGAACCAAACTCAGCAGAAGCCAGATCACTCACTCAGTGACTGACAGTCAACGGGATAGGGAGTCATCCAGAGGCCGGTGCCGGGGCTCAGCATCAGTCAGTCATACGGACGAGTGCGGGGCCCCAGCGCCGAATCTTGGTGGCGATTCGAGTAGCTTCTGCCGGCGTCCCTCCCGCTGGTCGCTGCCGACCCAACTCAGCACTGCTTTTTTTTATTATCGATGGTCGGCGGGAAATGACATGTTGATCAGCGTGATCATACAGTATGCGCCCCTCTACCATACAGTACACCTACAGTAATCCCCTTCCAGCGCCGGACACAGACACTGGGAAATGGGATTCGCGCAATCTGGACCTCCGTCGATGCAACGCTGATAGCGGCTTCACCGCCCGCTACCCTCCAGCAAAGTAACTTTTAGGCTATACTCTGGTGTTTCAAGGACAGTGCTCATGTGTATTGCTTGATGCAGATCCCAACAGACTGCTAACCAAGCTACCGCTGGGCGTAGCCAAGATGGTGTACGGCCTCGAGGCATGAATGGAGCACTTGTTCACTGGCTGCAGCGATGGAGCGTAACAATGCACATAGTGCGTATAGTGCGCGTGGCACCAGTGCAGTCCATGCCACGGGCTAATCCATCCCAGACGATGCCATCCCCAGGTTTTACTGGCTTGGCTCGGCAGCGCAGCATTAGCATTAGTGAAGCAAAACAAGACGAGAACGAGCTGTCAATTGCAAGGGTCCTTCACTGTCCCCAACGAAATCCAACTGGGAAATCCAGCTTCTGATGTCCTACCCAAATTGAACTATCTCGTGGACAGGAAAAGTGAGCCCATTCTTGACTATCCCGAATCCGAAATCAGGGTCTCGTTTTCTCTATCGCTATTTCGGTTTACAGTTTTGATCCGTCCCAAACGCAATTCGGGCTTTTCTTAGATAGTAGGCGCCACGGCACAGTCACAGTCCGACTGACGGACGGTGCTCAGCCAACAACATTACAGTCGGGGAATTGAGGCAATCGCTATCAGCGACTACGCAATTAGACTATTCAGAAAACTGATTGGATCTTGTGCCACGTTTCTCTCGTTCCTGGACTGGAAGCCTGCCAATTCTTCGATTGCAGAAGACCATACTTGTTATCGCTGGTTATCAGTTCCAAGTCTCCAACTTTTGCCGCCAGTTCTTGTCGATCACCCTTCTGACGCTTAACGCTTACACCCTTGCTCATCTGCTAATCTAAGTTATCAGTGAATTGGTCCAGCGTGGTCACTGGGTCATGCACTCCTGGATCCTGCATTCCAGTAGACATGCCCCCGGTGCCATGAGGACCCTTTCGTCTCAGGGACCAGATGAATTAACGGACAATAAGACTCGGCCATCAAAGGTAAACAGATGGTTTCTTCAGCCGCCGAGTGTGAATGTGTCATCCAACAAACGCCAGAAGCTTCCAAATATTGGTCAGGGACTGGGACTGTCCGAAGAGATCTTACTGTGTTGGTGTTTACACCCGTAAATAGAAAAGGGGCGTGCGTCAGAACAGGCTATACTTCCAAGGCTGGACAGGCGGGAATTGCGTGTAACGACCTGTCGTCAATCATCAAACGTGACTGGATGGATTTTCAAGGGTCCGTGTTGCTCAGCCATGCACAAATCTGTGCAAATCTTCACAAATATCACCATGACACGAAACAGCTGTGCGCAGATGGCCTGGTTTGCCGATCAGGACACACTGTAACGCTACCCTTTTGGGAAGAAAGACAACAAAGAGCAATGGCCTTGAATTTCGACTCAACAGACGAAATGCCGTCATTTCGTCTCCATCAGAGCGGGGTGCCAAATACGTGGACATGAGATTATTCAGGGAATATGGGATTACGAATCTCGGATGATGGAATTCTTCGAGATTACTCACCTGCTCCAATCTCCAGTCTCCATTATTCGAGCCAAGACAGATACTGCGCTGTACCTGTATGTACTGGTTTGTTTGGACGGACTTGACACTCGGTGCGGGTCTCCGGGCCTCGTGAGAGATCTGATGTTTGCTGTCCCCTTGTGGAGTCCGGACAAATATGGAGACGGAATTCGATATCTGCTTTCCAAGGACAGGAGACTTGGAGTCGTGACTCAGTGAGGGTGAGATACGGAGATGAGATTGAGGAACATTGGTCATGTCACGATGGTCACAGGTGAGTGAGTCTCTCGCTCTAAGCCGACATGTTGCACAATTGCACGTTGAAATGGTTCTAGACACGACTCCCTACTTCGGCTGGGCGCGGGTTGATTGTCTCAAGTCACGTCGTCTCCATCTCTGATTCGTTGTCATATTGGAAACACAATATTTACTTCCATTGACAACATAACATGCTTATTATGCGCGGATCTCGTCAACAGGGGCGGGGACGGAGGAGGGCAACAAGGGATATTGAGGGGGAAACTGAGACGCTGAAGGGATTGGATCTCATCATCGAAGATGATATCCTGACTCAACAGATTTGCTTCCTAGATATCGCCTGAGAGTTGCAGCTCTTGTTCAGGGTAGCTACAGCACAATCAGTCATGGGATTGAAGCTCCGGCAAATTGTGACCCATCAGCTGGAAGTGAGGTGATGGGTCAGACCCTTCATTCATCTTGAAGTGGCTGGCCGACAGAGTGACATGTGCGACGGTAGGAGGGGCCGCCTAATCACAAGTACCCTCACTGGGTACCCATCTACCACGAGGCCAAGAATTGAGACTCCACCAAATCTGATGAGAGAAAAAGGGTCCTGCTGTGACTGTGGACAAGACCTGTTTTTTTTTTTCTTTCCCCGTTGCCAGGGGTTGTCTCGCTGCTGCGTTTCGAAAGCTGCATGAACTGGCCACTTCAGCTCGGGAACAGCAGGGGATCTGTTAAATGCTCCGTATCGAGCTGCAGCTTGGGTTGCTTTGCCTCGGAACCACAGCTTGTAGTGACACGGGGTTGGGCGATAGCCGGGATAGGCGTGCACGATGCTGAGCAGACCTTGAATACGAAAAGATCTAGTTCACGACTTGTGACAGATGAACTGCCAGTTGTCATTTTCGTGAACAGGTTCCTAATTAGAGATCCATTAGAATTTTCAGAGCCTATCCAATTCACTCGGATCTGACCACCGACCCTGTCAATACAGCCAAGTCCTTCTATTCAATTCCTTTACAGCAGCACTCTTCGCTGTCCTCCTTACCCTGCAGTCAGTGAATAACTAACACGCTATTGGTCAGTTCACCTTAATTCAACCAACCTCACCTCTTGACCGCCTTTCCTCTATGCTCACATGGCTGCAAACCAACCCTCCATTCGCATTAGACTCGATCTACTATTGCATCTCATCAACCCACGTTCCCAGCTGCATCAAGCTTAACACGGATACCTCTTCAAGGATCTTGAACCTCCAAGGAAATCACCTCACCAAAAGGCGCCAAGCTAGATAGCGGCCCGCTCTGGAATCCAGGAACAAGGACCTTCTGCTGCCACCGCCGATATTGGTTTTTTCACACTCTCTTCCTTACCCTTCAAGATCGTAGCAGGGATCACAAATCGGAATTGGTGTCTGACAGAGTTTTCTCGTCATCTTTTCTTCCTTACTTTCGGTCTACTTCACCCGTTTCATCTCTCATATTGGACGTGTCAATATTCAGGCTTGACCGCTTTCTCACGAAAAATAGCTCCTATTCACTATGACGCTCAATCTTAATGAATTCGACGTCCTAGTGTTTGACATTGGTAAGATTAAACTGGCTCCACAGTTGCTATTGGCGACTGCGTGTTTTGTTGACTGCAAGGACTGTTTTGGACTGAGTTGTCATTCATCATACTGGCATGTGTTTTGTACTATACTACACTCGCGTTTTGTTTGGATATCATATACTCAGAATAGCCATAATAACAGATAGTACAGAAGGAACCGTTTGTCCCATCTCCTTTGTCAAGGACGTTCTAGTGAGTCGTCCCGTTTTCCTGCTTGTCGCGCTTCGCAACTGTTCCGATTTGTACTTCCTTACCCATGTACCACCTCCGTCCGTCCCCCTTACCGCCTCCGGGCCCGGACCTCCGTATGGATCCCACCAAATTTCGTCCCAGCCTCCTCTTCCGGACGTCCTCCGTCCAGCTGCCGGCCTTGGTACCCAGATCCCGGGTGTCCACGCTGCCGAACCAAGTTCTGCCAAGTTGCGCAAGTCTCGGGCGCGTGCAGCTGAAAATTTCAAGCCAAGCACTTCTTTCCCAGCCCCTTTACACTCTTCACCGACTTTACCCGTTTCATGATAGCATGCCCAATGTCGACAACACTGCAGCCTGCTGACCAAGGTCCGTTTGTTGTCACTAGTTCCCATATGCACTCGATGCACTTCCCAAGGTGTTGGATCAAGAGTGGGATAGTCCAGAGTTCGCAAAGTACCGCGATGCCTTCCCCGAGGAGTATCGCAACTCGCGCTCTGACTTTGAAGCGCACGTCCGCGACCTCGTGAAGCGTGATGTCAAGATCGCCTACCTCAAGTCGCTCCAGGGTTACCTGTGGCTGCAAGGCTACAAGTCGGGTAACATCGTGGCGCCCCTCTTCCCAGATGTCGAGCCCTTCTTCAACGCGGCCACCCAAGCTGGGAAGACGATCATCATCTACTCGTCCGGCTCAGTCCCTGCGCAGAAGTTGCTCTTTTCGCACACCAACTCCGAGAAGCCAGATATGACACCTCTTATCGCAGACTACTTTGATACCACCAATGCGGGGCCCAAAACCGAGGTTCATAGCTACACGAAGATCATTTCTGAACACCCGGAGCACAAGGACGTCAACCGATGGCTTTTCCTGAGCGACAATATTAACGAGGTGAAGGCCGCTGTTGGGGCTGGCATGCGCAGTTTGCCCGTTGTTCGTCCCGGTAATGCGCCCTTGCCGCCAGACGAACCTCTGTCCAAGCTCGCCATTACCGAGTTCAAGCACTCAGAGGTCGCTTTTTTGGGAGTATGATAGACGGCTGCAGGAAAGGGTCGTTCAATGTGTGGGGAAATGATAATCGTCGAATAGCGTGGCACCTTTCGTGCGGAGATGTAATAATAGTAGCTCGCTAGGGAATTCTAGTCCACTCAAAACTGAGACCACCGTCCAGCTGATCCTGTCTACCGGTGATCTGGTGTCTCCAAGCTGCATAAGTGTCACCATGCACCTTATCAGTCGTGCGACGTAGCAAGTTGCAGATAGTCGATCCAGGCGATACAGCACAGTACGTGCCCGCCAAGAACTGTGTAGATAGGATCGTCTTATCGAGTGTAAACATTCGTACCGTGCCAGCTCATTGTCGCGTGCTCAAAACTCCATATGTTTTGCCGTGCTGATAGTTTGTTGGGCAGTTCCGCATATGCAGCTCGTCGAGGCCCCTCATCGTTTCAGTTTGAATGACTCGTCGAAGCTTTGAGCGTCATGACAAAGTTGTTCCGTGTCCGTCCTGGATTGACTTCCTTCTTGGTAAAGTCCGGCCGCTTTTCGGAGACGGTTCCGATCCTCTTCCACAGAGTATATGCCAATTTCTGAGTCATCTTGGTCTTGGTGCATATGTAGCCGAGAATCGTCATCAACTCCTCGAAGCGAGCTTCTGTGAAGTATCGTGAGTTGTCAACACAGCTGCGAGGTAGAACCACAAAAAGGCAGGGGAAAGGTTCGTCAGAACCAGTTGCACGTTCAGCTGCAGGTCGAAGAAAGGAGAGAGTCCGAAGAAGCATCTGTCCACGCCCCTCGGCCTCGGGCACGAAGTTGAGCACTAGACTCAGCGAGATAATGTCGAACACCTCAGAATCGTCCTTGGGTAAGGGACGCTCCATAAAATCTTGCTTTGTGATGCCTGGCTCCTGGCTTTTGAGATCGATATGCTTCATAGTAAATATACCGCTTGTTGAGCATGCGTTTCGAGTACTCAATGCCCCGACCTCCAACATATGAAACGGCTGAGCACGCTTCTTGAGCTCTGCCACAGGAAGCCATTCCAGAAGCACTCTTGACGTGTCACCTCCTCTGTCGAGACTCTGACCTTGGAGACTGGCCTTCTGATAGTAGTCAAGACCACCCAGCTTAGCGATCTCTGAGGCAAGGCGAGTTTCGGTGACCGTGTCGCCCTTGGCTGCAGCTTGACGACGTTGTTTCTCCAGTTGGTGATGAGTGTTGATGAGACTCCTGCTGGCTTTCCTTGACATTGACCGTGAGGATTTGACAGTTGGCGGGCGGCCACTTGAAAGGCTCTTCAGCCTTGTTTGCTTCTTTGAAACCATTGTATGAGTCCAATGAGAAAAGCGCTTGTGTGTTGACCTTTTGACCCCTTAATGCATCAATATCTAAAATGATTTTCATGTTAGTCTCGGCAAAGAGAAGGGCAATATTGAATCTCACCGTTTCTCAAAATGGGGCAACTCCTCAGAGGAGATTCAGCAGAGGAGAATGAGCTATAAGACTTGAAAGCACATTTTGATTCCTATTTATCATTGAATTACTGAAAACATACGTGTAATTGAGTGTAACATTCATTCTCTCGATGACTTTTTGCGGTTGGCTTACCTAAGGCCAGGATAATTGATCTAAGCATCGACCAATCACATCATGTAGAAGAGAGTGGAGCCAGATTAGCTAAGTGCCCTAATGCTATTGAAAATTCACAAAAATAAATAGACTCAAAATCAGCGAAAGTTTTTGTGAACCTTCGACCACTCCGACGACAACCAGCACACCCGACAATCTTGTGCCCTCGACAACACCGACGCAATGGCCGCCAACAAGAAAGGTACGACATGATATGGAACAACAAAGAGAGAAGAGAAGAAAGGGAAAAAGAAGAGAATCGGACGGGCGAAGGCGAAAGCGAACTTGAGCAAGAATTTGAACGACGATGCTATGGCGACTCTCGAGAGATCCAATCATTATATCGCCTTGGTGCAACTACATACATTGCGACAACTGCTATGACCGATCAGCTTCGCTTCGATACCACCGAACTTTCGACTCGATCCATCTTCTGATTCTCCTCTTCGACTCTCACCCTCCGAGTTGATACTCTACCGCATCATGCTGCAGCAGATTTTGCGAGTTCTGAATAAGAGCGAATGCTGATGCTTCCTTATAACAGTTCAGCCTAAGGGCAAGGGTAACAAGAAGGCCCAGGATGCCGCCAAGGCCGCTCTCAAGGGCGTAAGTTGAAAACATTGTACTGAAAACCACAGTCCCTGGATGCTAACCAAATGTCAATAGTCCAACTCCCACAAGAAGGTCAAGGCTCGCTTCAGCACCTCCTTCCATCGCCCCAAGACCCTGATCACCTCGCGAGCCCCCAAGTACCCTCGCCGATCCATCCCCCACCAGCCTCGCCTCGATGAGCACAAGGTTAGTTTCGCCTGGAATTGTATTCTTTGGAAAAACAAATTGTATTAACCACGGCTTCTAGATCATCGTCCACCCTCTCAACACTGAGAGTGCGATGAAGAAGATGGAGGAGAACAACACTCTCGTCTTCATTGTCGACATCAAGAGCAACAAGTCAGTATTTCCAAAAGATTACAAGGGTATATCTAACCTCGACACAGGGCCCAGATCAAGCTTGCCCTCAAGAAGCTCTACGACATCGACTGTGTCAAGATCAACACTCTCATCCGCCCTGATGGCACCAAGAAGGCTTACGCCCGCCTGACCCCTGATGTCGATGCTCTCGACATTGCTGCCAACAAGCTCTCTCTCGTCTAAAAATACCACTGGGCTTGTGGGTTTCTGGCTTTTCTGGCGTGTCTTTGGGTTGGTTTTTGGCCTGCTGAAAATGCAAGGCATGGGCATCGGAATAGGCGTAAAAAGAACTTCTCGTTGAGAGTGCAAATGATCATGAATTCAATACCACCCGGGACACGGCTCCGCTTAGTCGTCTAAGATACTGCCTTGATATGATTTGAGTGACGATGTGTGGATGTAATTTGTAGTTGCCGGTCGCAATTATTGTTGCATTGCTCGTTTCCAATAAGTCTTGGGAATAGCTGATAAATTACGGCTAATGCATGTGGTTACATACCATGAACAAAGTGCTAGTCAAGTTAAGCCATAACAATTTCACATGAACCCTTCCCAGAGAATCAAGGTCGAGAACTTTTTTAATCGTTCATAATGTACAAATCTCAATCGTCGGTCATTTTGACCAACAAAGCCCCAGTCGTCCTGGCCACAGCCAGAATTTTCTATTATGACCATGGCCCGTCTATTCATACAAAAATCTCGTAATACATGACTGAAATACCCTTATTTCAATACCCAAATTATCTTCTTAGTTGCGCATGCCGTTGAGGTGCTTCATCGTAAGGTAGTTGACGTCAAGAAATCGCTCGACGCAGTTGGCGAGGCATGTCTCCTCGGACTTGTCGAGCTTAGGGTTCTTGATATTGCCAGGGACGCACTTGGTCCAGCACATTTGGGTCAAGCTATGTGTTTCTAGAGACATTTCGTTAGCGAATTCGTATCCTATTGCGTCTTTCTCGGTGTTGTGCATACGGGCTTGGATCTGAGAGCGCTGCTGCTCGTTGGCGAGGAACTGGCGAAGCTCGAGGCGATCCTTGTCGTTGAGCTTCTCGAGGTCGGCGTTATCGATGGACAATTGTTGAGCGCTCATTTTGGCGGCTATGAATGGATTGGTAGTGATTGGCGTGGGGTTGAAGTTGGTTTGTTGTAGTGTAGATTCTGCTCACAAGTTCAAGATTTTTGATGATGCGCAACTGTCTAAACAACTGACCAATAATGGGCCACAGATCGGCTCGTAGTCCCACTCTCAGCTTCACGATCATTTCTCACCAAGAGATACGAGCAGGTTCAATATTTGTACGACTATTACTACCAATTATGTAGATTATTCGAAGAAATAATTAGAATTCAAGGCATTACAATAAATATACTGAGAATCCTTTTACCATCACATGCGGCTCAAGACAGACAATTGGACGCCATGAAGCTCTCTATAAACAGTATCTAATAATTTATAAATACCAAATGAGTAGTCATAATACCGCTCTACAACAACACTCATGTTACATCTCTAAATAGAACATGCCACCAGGTAACACCCGTCTATACTGTAAAAGAAACAATGGTAAGGACCGACTGGGTTCTCAGAACCAACATATGCATGCATCGTTTTCGCTAGATGTAACGCTTCCAACGTGCCAAAGCCATGAAAATGATACACAGAAAAGCCATGAAGCCAATGATACTGAAGAAAGGGGCCAGATTGCTTGCGGCAACGGTTGCAAACGGAACCGGCACGTTCATTCCAAACACACCACTGACCAAGTTTAGGGGGACAAGAATCGAGGCCAAGAAAGTGATCTTGCTAAGCACCTCATTGGTATGCGTTCCCTGCGCGATACTGTTGATAGAAACCGTAGCAAGGTAGTTGCTGTGTGCGCGAGACAAGATCTTTTCGAAGTGTCCCAAGTTGGTGGCCATGGTCACAACGTGATCCTGGATGTCACCCAAGTACATGCCGATGTCCATGCGTGGTGTGACCTTGTAGTTCTCATTGCATCGCTTCGTGAAGCCACGGAGAACATCTGCTTTGCCACCGAGAAGGCGAAGCAGGGCCAGACAATTCTTGCGAACCCGGCCAATGCGACGGAGGAACGAGTTAGAATCATCCTCACGCATGACGAACACTTCGTCTTCAATAGCATCCGCTTCAAGCTCAATCTGGCGAATGACAGGTCCGAAGGAATCAACAATGTCGTCACTGTAGACAATTAGCATGACTCTCCAAGTCATATTCACAGAGTAGGCACTTACATCAAAGCATAGCATATCCAGTCGCTGCTAAGAGAGACATAGTCCTTGAGAGCAGTAATTCGCTTGCGAACCTGAGCCGCGTGCGAGTTGGGCTCAAAGCTGAAGCTCAGGGTGCCCTCGCGGAACACGATGACATAAGTGTTGAAAGGTTCATACTCGATGCCATCGGGCTCCTGAACAACTGAGAAAGAACGGAAACAGGCAAAGTAGTACGACGGGAAGAGTTCAATCTTCTCGCGAGCTTCCTGGGTAATGATATCCTCGATTGTCAGAGGGTGAATTCCAAAAGCCTTGCAAATGCTCTGGACCTCCTCCTTGGAAGCCGCGTTGACGTTGAGCCACCAGACACCATCTTCGTCTTCATCAGGAAGCTCAAAGAGGCCACGAAGGTCTTCTCCTGGGAGGACTAGATCGCCAAAGTCGGCTGCGTGGATAGTTGACTCCCAAGCCGAAGAGAAGAAACTGAACCTGTTAGGGTCAACTGGCGCAGGCTGCTTTTCAGCAATTGACCCCTCTGTGTGAGTCTGCGCTGTCTGGTTCGTCTTCTCACGCGTCATCGAGTCATCCGAGACAGGTTCTAGGATATCACCATCAACAGTGACCATCCGCTGAATGCGCGATTCATTCTGCTGAGCTCGCATATCCTCAAAGCTCTGCTTTGCGGCGGCGGCGGCGTTGCGCTCTGCCGCGCGCTCTGCCACGCGTTCAGCTGCCTGCTCATTGATGAAGTTCTCGAGGTAGTCAAAGTCAATGTACAGATGGTCTTTGTGATAGCTCTCCTTGACAGGGAAGCAAACATCCTCCTCTGCAGTTTTGTTGGTTGAGAAACTAGCAGCATCATTGTCAATTGTGTGGGGCTTGCTTCGGTAGCTGCGCTTGCTGGAGATAGACATGGCTCGACTGGCTCCATCCTCGATATCAGGCTTGTTGGGTTCCGAGAACGACATGTCCCGCTCTCGACGGCGAGCCTGGGCAAACGCCTTGACCGAGTTAGGTGGCGAGACAGATCGATCTGTGGAATCCACAGTAGGTCGGCGACTGCGACGAGCAGTGGGAGAAAGATCACCGACTTCCTCGTCAACGATGGCCTCCTCGAAGTCGCGAACTACAATCGCAGGAGGAGCGGGGGGCTCAGGTTCGAGCTGCCGAGCACCATACAGACTATCAAATGTGCCACGGCGAGGGCGCTCAACTCTGGTTGAAACCGACTGGTGGCGGTGGTCGTCGAGCTCCGGGACGGGAGTATCGTACCCAGACTGCGCAGCGGATTCTTCGTGGTCTGACATTTTGGCTTGTGGCTAGGTTTGTAGCTTGATATTGACTATATTGGCTCTAATGGTGACCGTATATAGAGAGATGGATGTGTCTCAAGGAGGGCGGAAGGTGTATTACGGACTCGGTATTATAGTCCCATAGCTTGTTGTTGTTCCAATCAGTGTCGTCTGATATAGGCGATTATAGACGTCGCACCCGGCGCGGCATGGGCGCGCCGAGTTGGAGTTTGTTCAAAATTGAGCTCTGCTCGGCGGTTGTCGCCAGTGGCTGCTGGTTGTTGAAGAGGAAATATGTACTAGCGGAAGACGAATAACGGGTAATGCGATCTAAAGACCAGTTACGGGGGCTTCTTGTTTACTCCGCTGTAGACCCAGAAGCTGGGACCGAAGAGCGAAGGGAGGGAAAAGTTTGAGAAGGCGAGTTGAGCCAACTTGAAAACCTGTATGGGATAATGGCGAGACGCCGATACTGGATGTTGGCGTAGATAAAGTGGTTGCTCGGGGGTGCCAACGGTGTTGAAGGCAATTGAAATAGAAGCCGGTTAATATTCGATAAAGGAAGCTTCGCGATAAAGTACTCGGTTGATGCAGGTGGATTTCGACCTCAGGAGTCGAGTCAGGCTGGTTTATTTGTAGCAACCAGAATTTGTTTTGGGCCTTGGCAGGGAATAAAGGCAGGGTGACGATGCCAGGGCCTATCCGTATGAGGGAACTAAGGTCAAGGGCCAATTTCGATACTGGCACGGTTAGCCAGACGAGAAATTTTCTCGTTACTGGACAGAACAAAGACCCGGTTAATAGTGCACGGGCAAAACAAACATAAGTAATTAAGAAAAACAAGTAATGTTGGGTACAAAAGGAGGTATTGGTGTCGGGAGCGACGATGTCAGGGTGAAGTTGGGTTTAAGAGGAGTTGAGGAACTAATATACGATAAGTGGGAACCGAAGGGCTAGGAAGAAAAAATTGTCTTTGGTGGTATCAAGTGTCGGGTACCGAATCACCGTGTGCTATCACAAGCAAAAAATAGGTCATCCAGGTTGACTCGTTGGCTCTTACAGGCCAGACAAGACGGGGAGAGGCCGCCACTTTTCCTGTCTTGGGGCACTTGCTTCTGCAGAATGAGCTTGGTCTGGACCATCGGTGTCCGTGTCCGTATTAGATATCAGGCTTGTCCTTGGTCAGGCCTAGTTTATCTCTTTGAGCGGCACAAGGCAACACCAGGTCACTCGCCCCACTTGACCCCACGTACCAGAAGGCTACAGAGGCTTAACATATAGAGGCAGCTATAAGAGCCTGTATTCCTTTGTAGCTTGGCTACTTCTACAAGAGTATAGCCTCTTTTTCTCCTGACTTTAACTGGCTACTAATATTTTATATCTATTCTTACTGGCTGCTGGCCTTTTATATACAAACCGGCCCTGTATTGGCAGAATTAATTTCTCTGATTGGCCTGATATCCCTGTCTTGACCGCTTTGTTGCCTTGTGCCGCTCAAAGAGATAACCTAGGAACTCCCTGTTGTGCCTGTCCGGCTTTGAGAGCCAATTCGCCACTACCGGGTGGTGTAGGGTAAGTTATCAGGAACCTCAACCATCTCAGCTGATTGACCAGCAGAATGACTGATTCTCCGGAGCATCACTGCATTAATCCCAGTAAATAACTGTAAACGTTGTCCTTTGATGAAGGACTTAATGCACTCAGACGATCAGACCACAAATTGATCATCAGGATATTACTCACACGTATTCATGGTCATGGCATCTGTATCCTAATTCGCTCAGGCATTGTATCTTCTCCAGCCTGCAAAAGCTTGTTTACCGAAAGCAGACTAGTCTTTGAGCCTCCTAACAGCCAGGTGTCGAGACCAATTCCGAACTTGACACTATTGGCGATCGCATTCACATCGAAACCAATTCAACGGAACAACATCTCCAGACACAGCACAAACACACGACGAATACTTTCACCCGATCATCATCCATTATGGCTGAACAAGCTCTTGATCAGATTCGAGACGTCTTCGATGGTCAAATTGTACATGATCCCCCCCTCGATTTACCTGATCAACAGCTGACTGAAGCTCCACTGTAGGACTTTGAAGGACAGAAGCTCGCCGAGCTCCTTGCTACAGTTCTCCTTGTCATTTCTGGTGTACGTCTTCTTCCTCTGCGTACTATGCCTGGTAACTCATTGGATTGTTCGCTGATGATTATAACTAGCTGATCTCCTTCGTCGTCGGCTACATCCTCCAAGATATCAAGCTCGCGGTCTACCTAGGTCTAGGAGGTACGGCGTTAACCTTCCTCGTCGTGGTGCCGGCCTGGCCCTTCTACAACAAACATCCCGTCAAGTGGCTTCCAGCGGGCTACGCATACGATCTTGCAAGCAAAGGAAATCAATAGATTGTATAGCGTGCATTGGGCCTCGCTGTGTCATGACTTCTACAGCCTATCGAAGCTGATTATGACACCTCAATAATACTGTTTCCTTGCAGATGCTTTGTTCTTTTCTTCATAACGCATGATAATCGGATACATCGACCGCGTTCTCTTTATCGTCCGTACTTCTGGAACTCCCAGTCCCTGTTGTCCAAAGGACAAACAGATCGAGCCTTAAGCCATCTCGAAATACAGTGAAAGTGGAACGCATGCTATGTCTCTGTTAGCCGAATGACATGAAAAAGAAAGGGTGCGTAGCTATCTTACGTTGCATATCCCCCAGGCCACAGTGCACTCTTCGCTTGTAGCAGATGCTTGGTTTGCCTGGCATTCGATGCCTAATGATTTGTGAGCACTTTGTGATATATATCCAAGAAGAATCCGAGTAGACGTACATAGATCCATGATGTGGTTTCGGCAGATGGCACAGTTGTCGACGACTATGTCCCATGCCCAAAGTGCTACCGCATTCCACTGTTCGTTTCCGGTCAGCATGGCTTCGGGGAGGCTCACGACTGGCAACTCTGTACCTTCTTGACCTCAAATTTCTTCTTTGCCTCGACACTCTTGCTGCCGGAGCCCTCGCCCTTCTTAGCGACGGGCGCATCGCTCATCTCAACGTCGGCCATGTTTCGCGCTGTGCTGCTCGAACTGCAAAAGCACGCTATGGTTGGTTTCGTTGAATGATATCGAGTCACACTGGTTGACTAGAAGCAGTCAGAATTATCCGTAGCTCGGTGATCTTCATGGACGGAAAATGGAAAAGGTAGTGCGCAGTTTCGGTTTGGAGGTGAAGATGGAAGACGTACGGATATCGTTTGCTCGATAGATCAATATGTCTATAGTCGTGAATGCTTGTAATTGTCAGCAGTAAGAAGAGGATGAATAAACAACTTTGGGCACGGGTTGCTTGTGTAAAAAAATGTACCTTGATGGTGCAGCTGCGAGGAAGGCGATGGGACTCTCAGTGAAATTGGTTCTGAGCAAGTGATGATGCGGCTCTGAACCTCTAAAGGCTTTGGATGCCCGCAGAGCTCCTCTAGGCGGACAGGCAGCTGGAGGAGTTCAAGCCTTAGGTCACTTCACCTAATTCAGGCTGCGTCCGGCGGGAGAGTGGCGGGGCGGGGTCGATCACAGAGGCCCTATCGCTTATCAGTCGTGATGGGACTTTCGCTAGAAACGAAACATATAAGCTTTCACACAGTAGGTGCGTAATATACTTTTATTTAACTATCTTAAGTCTTGTGGACTTTGCATTAAAACCATATTCTGAAACTTACTTGTTACTTCAAATATATAACTTCAATAGTAAGGTTCTCTTCCCCCAAAAACAAAGCTGTGAGATGCGACATCTGGTCCGCTTCAGGCGCTGAACCTAGAGGCTGACCCACTCTTTGTGCTGGCAATGTCTGGAATCCGCCCGCGTCATTGCTTGGACCGGGCTCTCACTGCGCTTAACCTGACGGGACTGACCTGACTCTTATTAACCCAGACGCTTCCGCCCTTCACTTCTTTTGTTGTTCCCCTCATTACTTGATCTTGAATCATCCACATCACACTTTCTCCTACAGCCATGGTCAGATTAGTCGACTCTCTCTTCACCAGAATAGTAGTTTCTTTATGCTCAATCGTAACACCTGCCTCGATTTTATATTCTCTTTCATACACCCCACCACCGTCTTAATCCGGCCCGATCTTTTGGAGTCCTCTTTGGCGCTGTCGCATAGTCAGATACCAACGATCGCATCAATCAATCAATCAAACAACCACACACCAAATAACTACGGGACATTGTTTGCTGTCCAGTCTCAGTCTTAGCCTCAGCCGACTCTCATCCTGGGTTTTCCCTTGTGCTTGATCGATTTCAACCTGCCACCACAGACGAAATGAGTGAGACCCCATCTCAGCCTACAACCACTCCCGCCCGCCGTCGTAACGGTCGCGGCAATGGCCGTCCTGCTGCTCAGAAGGCTTATGCCTCCGAGAATGACGTCGCCTCCATTGATCCCGCACATTACGATCGCACTCCACGGACTCCTCAGAAGGGAGCTGGTACCGATTCTCCTCATGCGCAGCTGAGCCATACCAATTCGAAACAGCGACCTAGGAATGGAAACAATAATAACAATAACAACAACAACAACAAACACCGTGGGAAGAATGGTCCTCACTCACCTGAGTCTGCTCGACCTGGTCGCCACACTCCACCGCAACAATCTTCATCCATGAAGTCGGTTTCTGCCTTTGCCGGAGCCACTTTCCATGCATCTCCTGCGCCATCTGCCTTGCCTCTCCCCAGTTTTGTCTCTCGTTCGGTAACCGAGTCGCCTAGCGTCAGCAAGACATCTCGAGACATCTTACAGGAACCCTCGCCCCCTACCGATACCGAAGCGCCAACTCCTTTGCGCCAGAGTGCATCGGCTGTTCAGGAATCTCCGCTCGATTTCATGTTTCGCGCCCACCGTCAAGAGAAGGAACGTCAACGCAGCGAAAGCACCAGCAGCTTCCGCCCTTCAGGTCTCGTCACTGAATCACCCTCTGCACAGTCTCCCTTTGGGCCTGGTAGTATCCCAAAGCCAGCAACTCTCCCCCAGACAGCCCGCACCCAAACACGCTTCCAGTCTGGCGGCATCGACAGTGTTGAGCTGGACGGAACTCCAGGTCGTCCCATGGGCCCGGCGTTTTCAACACCTTATCAAGAGCGCATTAAGGCTGCTCGCTCTAACTCTGCTCGATCTCCTGCTGATCTATCCGCCACCCAGCCGAAACCCAACGCTGTACCTGAAGATCCTACTGAGGCCCTAAAGAAATTTCTATTTATCGGAAACGGAACAAATGTCTCTCAATCTGCCCCTACTGGATTTGCAGCCGCAGCCGCAGCCGCACCCCCTGCTCAACACTACAACCATGCTAGGAGTGGTCCTAGTGTCCCGGCTCCTTGTGACGGCCGCTCAAACAACCTCCAAGCTATGGAAAACGACCTTCGACGTATTCTCAAGCTGGACTTGAGCACTGGATCGCCAGGAGCGGACCAGCGTTTGTTCTCATAAGACTTGATGTCATGGAGTGATTATTCGTTCGGCGTTTTTACTGCACCTCTTCTGCATAGCTTTTTAACTGCCATCAATTCCCAGACGGCATCAACGGAACGTGATATTTGGCGGGACGGTTTTCATTGTCTAGGGGTTAAGGTATAGCGGCATTCTGTCTAAGTTTTGGCGTTATCAGAGCGAGGATTGAAGATATATTGAACGGACGAATGGTCTTACAACAGATGATGGGATCATAGCTTGACGTATACAGTCGAATCAAACAGAGGCACCTCTGATCTAGAGACAGATTGATCTCGCCGTATCTATGGCGCCTGTATCAAAATGGAACAACCTCGATCGAATGCGGTTTGGCGAAGGAGAAGAGAGAATTCCCTCCTGTTTCTTTGGAACGTATTTCATACGCGAGATTAGACTTAAATACAATTTTGAGCCTTGGTTCAACTTCTCAATTTATTCTTGAGAGTGGAGGAGTGAGCTAGATTTATTCTGAGATGAATACAATCATCTTGTCAAGAGCGAAACTAAACTCTTGAGGCACAGAAAAGGATTGACATAGTGAGGTCAAGCTTTCATACAATACGCAATTCCCACCTTCTTGGTTGTTCTCAGATCCATGACTGGGACTTCAGCCTGAAAGGATATTCTCTACTTATAGCACTAACTCATTAATAGGTACCTACCTACCTACCTACAAGTGACGAACTGAATGCCTTCAAAGTCTGGGGTGCGGCTTGCTTCGGGGTAGCGGCCATTCCAAAGATCCGCTCCTGCCCCGCCATTCATCCCACGCTTGCACGCTTGCCCGCACTCATGGAGGAAGGTGCAGGCAATGGAGGGTTCCCAAGTGTGGGTACGTACTTGATTGACACCAACACTTCCCTGCTCTCGTGACGAGAAACTCATCGACCTTTAATTTCATAGCTCGATTACTCTGTAACTGAGGATAACTTCATCAGCCGTTTCTTTTTGTTCGTGGGTGGTTGTATTTGCGGCATTTCCTCCCTGAGCAACGTCAATTCAACTTGTGCTATCAAGGTAAGTGAACCAAACCAACAAAAGATCGTCCAAAGCATGCAACTTATCTGGGTCATGACTCCATCCCCAAGCCCCTCATTAGCTCTCCTCCTCATTATCACTCTTTCCCGTGATGCTCAAACCTCACTCTTGTGTGAATGCTTCCAGTCTCTGTCGGATCGTCCCTCTGAGACCTCAGATTGCTCTTATCATATCTGTGCAACCTCGCAAAAAATCAAGATATCTCTTGTCGTTGAACTTGTACTGACTCTTATCTGTGAAGCCCTTGAGTTCTGAGCTCTCAGTCCGCTCTATTGCTTCTCTTCACGCCTTGAGTGTATTTATCCCCATTCGAGGTGTCTTGTTGCGTGCGTCTGATTGTCAATGCTTTTCCAGACTGCGACTTCACTCCTCCGTTCAGCTCCACGACGATTAGCCGCAGCTTCACGCCTATCCTCGCGCCGTTGGATCTCATCTGAAACAATGACCAAGCTCGACACTACCTCCAGGCTCACCCGCCTGAGAGGCTTGATGAAGGAGCGCAATGTTCATATTTACAGTGAGATTTCATGATCTGCACCTGCTATTCACTACTGCAATACTAACGATGGCTTGCAGTTGTCCCTTCTGAGGATAGCCACTCATCTGAATATATCGCAGATTGTGATGCCAGACGTGCTTATATCTCTGGGTTCACTGGTTCTGCTGGATGTGCTGTTGTTACACTCGAGTCTGCTGCTCTTGCTACTGACGGTCGTTACTTCAACCAGGCCACATCCCAACTCGATAGCAACTGGACACTTCTTAAACAAGGTCTCCAAGACGTTCCTACGTGGCAAGACTGGTCCGCTGAGCAGTCTTCCGGTGGAAAGAATGTTGGCGTTGACCCAACCCTCATCTCCGGTTCAACTGCCAAGAACCTTGCTGAGAAAATTCGAAAGAACGGCGGAGCTGAGCTTGTACCTGTTGATGGAAACCTTGTCGATCTGGTATGGGGAGATGAGCGTCCTTCTCGTCCTTCGGAACAAGTTATCATTCAGCCTGATGAGCTTGCAGGAGAGTCTGTCCTGAACAAGCTTACCAAGGTCCGCCAGGAGCTGGAAAAGAAGCACTCACCTGGCTTCCTAGTGTCCATGTTGGATGAGATCGCCTGGTTGTTCAATCTGCGTGGTAACGATATTCCTTACAACCCCGTCTTCTTCGCGTATGCCACTGTTACCCCTGATGCTGCTAAGCTTTACATCGACGAAGCCAAGCTGGACGATAAGTGCCGGTCGCACCTCACTTCGAACAAAGTTGACATCAAGCCATACGAAGCTATCTTCGACGATGCCGAGGCACTACACGCCGCTCATGTTGAAAAGAGCAAGTCCGGCGACAAGGTTCCTACTGGCAACTTTCTCATCTCCAATAAGGGCTCATGGGCACTTAAGCGTGCTCTGGGAGGAGACTCTTCGGTCGATGAAATCAGAAGTCTAATTGGAGATGCAAAGGCCATCAAGACTGAGGCTGAATTGAAGGGTATGAGGGATTGTCATGTGAGAGATGGTGCTGCACTTATCCAGTATTTTGCCTGGCTTGAGGACCAGCTTGTGAGCAAGAAGGCCATACTCGACGAAGTGCAAGCTGCCGACAAACTTGAAGAGCTCCGGAAGGAAAAGAAGGATTTTGTCGGCCTCTCATTCCCCACCATCTCCTCTACCGGCGCAAAGTAAGTTCAATTCAAAGTAAACTGAGAGACTCATGATACTTGACTATCAAGTGTTGCAAGCTTTTGCTGACCAGTAAATGCAGCGCTGCAATCATTCACTACGGTCCTGAGCGTGGCAACTGTGCCACCATCGACCCTGAAGCTATCTACCTTTGTGATTCAGGAGCACAATACCGTGATGGTACCACGGACACCACTCGTACCTTGCATTTTGGAAAGCCTACAGATGCGGAAAGGGAGGCGTACACCTTAGTCTTGAAAGGTCACATCTCTTTGGATCAAGCCATTTTCCCCAAGGGAACTACAGGTTTTGCACTCGATAGTCTGGCACGACAACATCTTTGGGTATGTGATTAGCAGCAACTTATGAAGCACGATATCTAACAAGAAGTATAGAAAAACGGGCTGGACTACAGGCATGGTACCGGACACGGAGTTGGTTCATTCCTGAACGTCCATGAAGGACCCATTGGCATCGGTACTCGTGTTCAATACGCTGAAGTAGCACTGGCCCCAGGAAATGTGCTGTCTAACGAGCCCGGTTATTACGAAGATGGAAAGTACGGCATCCGAATAGAAAACATGGTTCTTGTCAAGGAGGTCAAAACCAAGCACTCCTTCGGCGACAAGCCTTTCTTGGGCTTCGAGTACGTGACGCTTGTGCCGTACTGCCGTAACCTGATCGACACGACGCTGCTCACGTCTGAAGAGAAGGAGTGGCTCAACACTTACAACGCAAAGGTTCTGGAGAAGACGCAAGAATATTTCGAGGGAGACAATGTGACATTGGCCTGGCTCAAGAGGGAGACAGAGCACCTTGAATGAAGTGACGGAACCGGTCCGAGCAACACTATAGACGTACGAAGGTAGCTAGGATGAATGTTACAAGAAACGACGCAGTGAATAATGGCCTTTCCTTGCTCTTGTTCCATACCGAGCTATTCTTCAAGAGTTTTTCGATACCAAGTGTTCGAGGAATATCCAAACCCCAGCGAGATGCGACCTGAACGTGTGAGACGAGGTTGAGTGAGCCCATTGGTAGAGGGAGACTTACATGGATGGACAGGGCAATCAACCCACTCAGAAGTGCAAGGGTTCGGGAAAAGAGAGCTACTACAACACCGACTCCAAATCCTTGAGACAGACGGTGAGCCTATATTCATATGACATAAGGTGAAGATGACTAACCAGCAACACTTCCACTAGAAAGCTGACGAACCGTATCAGGCGAAACATCTAGAGAACGTCGGCGTGGAGGAGGCCCTGTAGCAAGTGTTGGGGCATCACAACGGATGACGGGTCGAGTTGCAATGAAAGCTCCAATGCAAGTCGCGGGGGCAATGCCTCGGCTCATGGCCCGGAAGGCTACTCGAGAGTTGAAGGCTCGATACATGTTTATGGAAATAGCTCGTTTAAGAAGAATAGAGCCAATTGGTGATATGGAATTGGGAAAGGAAAGTTTTAAGTGTAGGCCGAGAGCTAGAGGGAGCTTCAGCCTGAGTTGCTTATTACGTCAGTGACAGTCTAACGGTCATGAGCTCTCAGCCAATGACTGATCAGCGTGGGGAGAACAAAGAATATCCAGCTCCCTTGAACATGACACAAAGAGCTTAAGGTACCTCGGTAACAAATTTGAAGATGACAATTGATTGACCGCAAATATTACATTTACAGAAAAAGCCTTTTCTCCCAGCTTCGTGTATCGAAGCCAATGAAACTCTCAAAGTAGGAAGGAAGAAAGCAAAGTAAATCAGCCAACACAAAAGGCCAGCAGGTATATCTCGAAGCGCCCCGACGCCATCCATAGTCCCAAACCAAAGTCTCGTGAGTACCCATCCAGATCCTTGACTCTTTTTTAGTTTTTCACATTTTGTTTCCACAAATCCAGTCTCTAACCCAAACCACCCCAGATACCGCGTATCCTCCTTGCTAGTTGAATGTCCTTCTGCATGATTGTGACACGCTTGGCGTGGATTGCGCATAGGTTGGTATCTTCAAATAGATGCACCATGTAGGCTTCAGCAGCTTCTTGGAGAGCCATGATGGCTTGGCTCTGCCAGCGCAAGCCCTCGTCTCGTGGGCGCATCGTCAATGCGATTTCTCGAACCTGTTGACCTGGTGTTAGTTCCTAATTGCGCTAAGTATTTAGGCGCTGAGTAACTGACAAGGCGTGCAAATGGGAGCTTTCGGAGGAGCAATTTTGTGCCACTTTGGTATTGTCGAATTTCGCGGAGAGCGACAGTGCCAGGACGATATCGACGCTTTGCGCGAACGGGAACAGGATCACCAGCTAAGGTTATTGTAAGTAAAAAAGCCATTAGGACAAGTCTGAGTATCTGGATATTCATACCTTGAACGTCACTCGGCCGCGACTTGCCGGCGCCAGAAGCTTTAGCTTTCCTGGGAGGCATTGAAAGGAGCGTGAAGAGAGAACAAAGAGTGTCGTGTATTAGCTAGAAGAGCTTTACAGCAAAGACAATAACATGCGAAAAACGAGTGAAGCGACTGTCTTGCACAAGACGCTCGAATTTGATCAATACAGTTCTCGTTGAAAGGAGGTTGTAGGATAGAAGCGAGAGTGTTGGTAATAGAATCGCAAGGTGGGAAGGACCACCGCGATTATGGGGAGCGTGTGAGCGCGCCTTCCCCAGCCCCGCGGTTTTATTTAATTGATTTCCAGCCACTTTGTCGCGAATGCACGGCCACATGTCAGCACCGCCACTTCCGGTGAAATGAGGTACGTACATATTCCGGACGGAATGGTGGGGGTGCTTGGACACCTCAGTTAGGTTACCCGTACCCGTCAGTCTCTCAACGTGGCTCGTCCTATTCTGTCATCTTTCAGTTCAACACAAACTTTACATACCTATACTTTTACAGCATCTGGCGCATTGCTTTCAACAAGAGTCGTCGGTGTTCCCTGATACATAACCTCGACCTCTACTCCTTCCGTTTAATGAAATAAATCCATCACTTGACTGCCTTGTTCACATATAGCCAACCCCCGATCATCGCTTGGCTGTTCCCACTCAGCTACAGTATCACCGAAAGGAAGACATTCCAATCAACATAGCGCTGCGTAAAAATCTCCCCGATGGATCAAGTCATGGATGGAGGCCGGCTGCCTCTTGAACAATGGTTCTGGGAGATGCCAACATGCACTCGTTGGTGGACAACCGCTACCATTCTGACTAGTGCCCTGGTTCAATGCCAGATGGTAACTCCTTTCCAACTATTCTACAGCTTTCGCGCGGTATTCGTGAAATCACAGGTTCGTATTCTTCCAAGCTAACCAGTCATTTGTTCTTACGACGACTCATTACAAATGCGAACGCTTATGCTAACATTGCGCCTTCTTCCAGTATTGGCGACTCTTGACGACGTTTCTCTACTTTGGCCCCTTCTCGCTCGATCTACTCTTCCACGTCTACTTCCTTCAACGATATGCTCGCCTTCTAGAGGAGTCATCGGGTCGATCGCCTGCCCATTTCTCATGGCTACTACTTTATTCAATGGCCTCCCTTATCGCCTTGTCGCCCCTCGTTTCCATGCCATTCCTCGGTCACCCGCTGTCCTCGACGCTGGTCTACATATGGTCTCGACGTAACCCAGAGACTAGACTGAGCTTCCTCGGATTACTTGTGTTCACCGCGCCCTACTTACCCTGGGTATTGATGGGTTTCAGCCTTGTGTTGCACGGCACTATCCCTAAGGATGAGATCATGGGTGTCGTTATTGGACATGTTTGGTATTTCTTTTCGGACGTTTATCCTCCTCTGCACAACGGCTCTCGCCCCCTTGACCCTCCTAACTGGTGGAGGCGTCTGTTTGAGGCCCGTCCTCGAGTTGATGCGGATGATAGTACAAACGACATCATGGTTGCCGGAGCTAGAGAAGCTGCGCCTCGAGAGCTTTAAAGGGCCAACGACAGAGAAAGAGATTGGTTTCAGCAAGAAACAGCAGAGCCATTATGCTCAATGTTTGCTATGAATTGGCGTTTAGGATTGGTATCTTTTGGAAGCATGGCACCGGACAGATGTATTGCCGATGGCGTTGATTTACTATGGCGTTGTTAGAATTGGAATGAACAATAGCCTTTGAGCATTCGGTAAATCTGGTGGTCATTTGTAGGCATCATGATACTGTCTCATGATATGACAGTAAAATTGTATCAGTGCAAGCAAGCGCTAGTACTGTCCACTGTAGTTTAAGTGGACACCAGATAAAACACAAGCTCTGCATAATCTCTGGAATTAACCTACGAGCTGGTCCATTAAGGGCTCGACCTTTGAAGGCGTGTGTTTGTGATGTCAGCGCAACAGGGACCTTTACCTTTTACGTTTTGGTGTAGCGCTGATGCGCTGACGTCGCTAGCCTTCACCGGACATTCCATGGTTGACCCCGCCATGGAACCATTGGGACGCTGTAAAATGTACATAAACAGCTTGGGACCCCGGCCATTTCAAAGCTTCAAAAAGAGCTTCCATCTGCTGACACTCTTGGTCTTGTAATACCATTCTTACTGTGCTTCTCTTTTACCGAATAGTCTCTTTATCCGTCGAATAAATCAACAACCATGCGAGCTTACTTCTATGATGGCCTTCCCGTGAGTATAACCTCTCATTGCTGAAAGATCCAACTAACATAAATTTACAGGGCGACCAACGCCTCCCTCATAACTCGGGCATGCCCGTCAGTGTTGACGATCTCATGAACATCGGTGTCTACTACTACCACCTCCCTGAACTTGAGTCGGTCGACAACCTTGCCCGCGAGCGTGGCTACAAGAACCGCGACGAGATCACTGTTTCTCCCCAAGCCATGGGTGACGTCTACGAAACCAAGGTCAAGTCCTTCTTTGCCGAGCACTTGCACGAGGACGAGGAGATCCGTTATATTCGTGGTGGCCGTGGATACTTTGACGTCCGAAGCAAGGATGACGACTGGGTGCGCGTTTTGCTGGAGAAGGATGACCTGCTTATTCTACCTCCTGGCATTTACCACCGCTTCACCACTGATGAGAGCAACGTAAGTCAACGGACATACTCTACCACATACCAAAAAAGGCTGACGATCACAGTATGTCCATGCCATGAGACTGTTCAAGGAGGACCCCAAGTGGACGCCTCTGAACCGAGGCCCTGATGTCGACAAGAACGAGCACCGACAGGAATACGTGAAGCAGTTCCTGGGAGAGCCCAACCAGTAAGAGGCCCACGTGGGAGTCAAACCAGCATCTGATAGTAGTGGAGGGTGCTAAGTACCAGGAGAACGACCGAATTACCAGTCCAACTGAAGAACCGTCAAACATGAACATCGCCGCTTGAAGCTGTGACGGAAGAGTATCGGGTTGACGTGATCTGGGAGCTGTTTTACGTCATTTTGCATGGTCTGTTGCAGACCACAAACATACGACTTGTGAGCGGTTTTGTGAGATCTGAACTGAAAACAACTCGGTCGCAAATTGGCGGCAGTCTGAGCAAGTCGATTGTCAATCGTTTACATATGATATTTTACGATTTATTTCTGAGGGGATGAGTTAGCGGGAGTTTGGAGAAATCCGGTTCCATGTAGCATACAAAATATATCATATCTATCCATCTTTGGTCTGAACTGATGCTTTCACTGAATGCTAGTGAGCTCCTACAAGCTTTGCCGGGCATATCATATGTGAGGGTCGCAAACTTTTACGAGTGAGCGCATCATGGCCCGGTCAGCAATGAATACAGCTCATAGCATTGGCTCCAGCGTATTCCATGGATCGATGCGGGGCGTGTAAGTGAGAGCATGTCGCAGTAGTTAGAGCATGCATTAAAGGCGCAATTCCTTGAGATCTAGTTATTCCTCGGCGAATCAAACCTCGAGCTATCTAGAAATCAAGTTGAGGGTATCTAAAACACTCTCAAGATACTTGGAGCGATCTGGCCTAAGTTTTGATGCTCCGAAAGCATGAACTGGTCATCCGATGCATAGATGGATTCAGTCTTGAACAGCATAATCCACAATTTAAGATAAAGATTATTGCTTTTCTCGGATACTTCTAATCATGCTTTATTTCTCAGATTGGGTTCATGGCCAGAAGTTCAGTTTATATGCAGAGTTTGTCCACATAAAGGCATTGTGATTAGCACTGATACGTATAGTTTTGCACCCCGCCTCAGCATAACACGAGACCCTGGTGTTTTATGGTTTACAGCATTCAAAGTAAACCTTCTCTTCAATTCCGCCAAAAACAACAACAAACTTCAATAACGGGAATTTACAACTCAATTGCAGATACCAAGACTCAACGCAAACGATGGATACACGAACAGAAGTCTCGGATGCTACTGAGGCATCATCGAGGCCGCGAATAGCGCAGCTTCCTGCGAGCTGTGATCCTCCACAGCCCAACACCCCAGTGAAGCAGTTAGTCTGGGTGGTATGATTCATCTTCTGCACAGCGCTCTTTCATTCGTTCAATATGCTCACCGTTGGATGTACAGATCTTTGGAGGTACGGGTCAGATGGGGCACTCCCTTGTCAAATGTGCACTTTCACATGGAGATTTGGTAACGTCGGTTGGTCGCGTGTTTGAGACAAGTCTAAAAGACATGGAGAATATCCATGAGAACTGTCTCGGCGCGTTGTGCGACGTCCGCGCTCGCGAATCTGTGAATCGTGTTATCGAGCGTACGCTTCAGCGCTTTGGACGGATCGATATTGTCGTCAATTGCTCTGGCTACGGCGTCATAGGCGCCTGCGAGGACCAGGATGAGCATGACATACGTAACCAGTTCGAGACCAACTTCATGGGCACGCTTCACATTATTCACGCTACACTACCGTACTTCCGCAGGCAGAATGCAGGTCGCTATCTCATCTTCAGCTCAACGTCTGGCGCTTTGGGCGTCCCTGGCCTGGGCCCTTACTGCGCGACCAAATATGCGGTGGAGGGTTTAATTGAGGCTATGCTCTACGAGACTGATGCCTTCAACATCAAAGCTACACTCATCGAGCCAGGCCATGTGAGGCCCGAAGAGCCAGAGATGCAAGATACGTCGCTTCCAACGTCCTGGGGCCATTTTCTTGTGAAGCCACCCAGCGAAACATACGGGCATCCGACATCACCAGCGCTGCATGCACGAAGGATTGTTCAGTGGCTCGGTGACAAGTATCGACCCACGAGCGCTATCAAATGCGCTGAACTCGTATGGCAGCTTGGACACTGCTCGTATCCACCGCTACGATTATTATTGGGAAGTTATGCAATTGAGAGTATCCGCGATCGCATGCGGTCTGTGACGGAAGAGTTGGAGGATTGGAAGCACCTCAACTTTCCTGCCGGGCCAGAAGATGACAGAGAAGTTGGAGAAGAGACAACAGCAGCACCTGAAACCAACGAGGCTACTGCTTCTTAAATGAACATTGTCGTTATGGATGTTGTGCTAAGGCACTTGAGGCGCAGGCGCAATTGGATTTCTCGTACCGGGTGGAGTGACTATTAAGCGCTAATTCTATGATACAGGACAACACAAGTTTCTTTACGAGCTTACTACTTACATATTATTTCTGGACCCTGGATGAGATGCCGTGTGATCGATACGGATCTGGACCAAGAAAAGACTGCATATTCTACTCTCTAACTCTCTAACTACATACCATTCAACATCATCAAGTTTACCCCTGTCTGGATGACTCAGCAGGAACGCGCCCCAAACCCAAGCCAAGTTTGCTCCACGTCTCCCCTTTGAGCCCCTCGACCCTGTGGCTCGAACCTCGTACTCTCTTTACAGGGCTACCTCTTAGTTAAAGGGAGAAAAGATTCCAACGGGGGTGAAAGGCTGAACACTGTCCACGCGCTGCCATTCTCTCCTTTTACACACTTGAACGAAGCGACCATCTACCAAACCGATTATACAGCGTCTCGTTTCGAATCTCAATAGCTAGACCCCGGACTCCCGTCGCATCCCAGCGCTGATCCCGACGTTTTACTCCCACGGTCGTTCGTTTCGTCGCTGCCATAATGACCGATAAGAAAAACGAGGACTATGTCGTCCAAATGGGCAATGACAACTACGACAAGAATGAGAAGCCATCTTTCCAGGCGCGATCACCGCCTCCTGCCGCGTACGGCTCAAGTCCAGTCACTGGTCTTGAACAGTTAGAGAAGAGCCCGCCCTTGTCTATCTTGGCGTATTGTTTGTCTTCGATCAGTATGACCGTTGTCAACAAGTATGTTGTGTCAGGCAGTTTCTGGAACCTCAACTTCTTCTACTTGACTGTTCAGGTAAGGAAATCTCCATGAGGAGGTATTGTAGCGATTTTTGACATTGGACTGTATATAGGCTGTCGTGTGTATTGGTGCAATTACGCTGTGCAAACAACTGGGCTTGATCAAGGTTCTTGCTCCTTTTGACTCTGATCGAGCAAGAAAATGTAAGTTGTTGAGGTTCAAACGATCACTTTCTAGTAACTAACACGAAAAAGGGTTTCCTATCTCTCTTCTCCTCGTCGGCATGATCTACACCAGCACAAAGTCGCTTCAGTTCCTCTCAGTCCCCGTTTATACGATTTTCAAGAACTTGACAATTATTGTCATTGCATACGGCGAGGTGCTTTGGTTCGGTGGCAGCGTTACACCTCTGGCCCTGCTCTCCTTTGGCCTCATGGTGCTGAGCTCGATCGTCGCAGCTTGGGCCGACATCCAGAGTGCCATCAACGGTGACTTTGGTACTACCGACTCAGCTGCTGCTGTCTCTACACTCAACGCTGGCTATGCCTGGATGGGAATGAACGTTTTCTGCAGTGCTGCCTACGTGCTTGGCATGCGCAAGGTCATCAAGAAGATGAACTTTAAGGATTGGGACAGTAAGTCATGCATTGTCGGTGTGGGAATGTTTCTGTCGCTAACATTGTGTAGCCATGTACTACAACAACCTCCTCACGATCCCTGTTCTAGTTGTCTGCTCGCTTCTCACAGAGGACTGGTCTGCCTACAACTTCTCTCGCAACTTCCCCGACGATACCCGTAATAAGATCATCATTGGCATGATCTACTCTGGCCTTGCAGCTATCTTCATCTCTTACTGCTCTGCCTGGTGCATTCGCGTTACCTCCTCGACAACATATTCTATGGTTGGAGCTCTGAACAAGCTTCCTATTGCAATCAGCGGCCTGGTTTTCTTCTCGGCCCCAGTCACTTTCGGCAGTGTATCTGCCATTTTCCTCGGCTTCATCAGCGGTCTGGTCTATGCCTGGTCCCGCGTGCGACAATCGATGTCATCTGGAGGATCATTGCCTACAGTGCGACCTACGATGAGCGCGAGCGCCAAGAGCAACCGCGATGCCAACTCTTAGATGATATGAAACAAGGCGCAACTTTAGAAGTTAGTCTATTGTGAATGGCGTTGGTGATGTGGATAAACATAGCTCCTGCGAATAAGGGATAAAAGGTGCAGGGCGATTTATAGAGCCCAGGTCAGGGTTTTTTGGTGTGTATATTATTGTAATGAGCACGATGGTGCCTTATTTTCGAGTAAGATAGACAAAGGAGTTTCGGGCGGGGGTTATTATGTGCTGAATGCATTCTTCTTTCGAGTCCAAATCTATAGTCGACTGAGCTCAGTCATGATGAACGCGTTGGTGATTACGACAGATGACAGATCATTATCAACAACTCAAAGTGTTTAGAGCTGATACTGCCCTATACTGAAGCTCTGTATAAGCACGCTCCTATCTCATTGGCACATAATATTTACAGAGTCCGAGGCTCATGATCAGCCTCAAGGTCATGTCCAGTTTAAAGATCGACACGTGAAGTGCCCCACGTGGGTCCATAGGACGTCACTCTCCTTGTACTGTACTGTAGCTACTACGTACGTAGCAATGTCCAAGCTTTTTTTGCTTCTTCTCCAAAATGTTGGACTGTTGGGGATCTTCTCTTCCACTCTATTCTAGATAAAGCAAGGGATAGAAATGACGTCCCTCACCTTTTGATCAATCAACCAAAGAACTGTCTCTTCCTGTCTCACGCCATGATATAGCGGGGGCCAACGCACAATTCCTAATATCTCCCTTTTATTTCCTCTTAAATTGTATAGTCCATTGAGTTTGGAAGTACTTGGACTCCACTGGTATTGTATGCTAAGTTACCTTAACCGCTATCAAGATGCTGTACTTTCTGCATAGGCGTAAGTTTCAAGCTTCATTCGTCGTGTAACGGCTCTATTTCTCTAACCAGTATTGCTTGTATAGCTTTTGTGGCCTTGGCAGACACTGTTGGTGCCGCTCCAGATGATCGTGAGTTCTCCCCAAAGGTCCCCCAAGCTCAATTGATCTCTAACGCGACCTTAGTCAAACTTGTCACCTCGTTCTTAATATCATTTCCCCTCGCCGCTCTCCTCAAACGAATTCCCGACTCAAGACCAGATCTCAAGAACCTCTTTGCCATTAGGTACGACATACAGCAGCCTCTCAGCCATGTTTAGTCCCACTAACATGTTCAACCAAGCGTATCAATCTTTTACCTCGTCGGCCTGTTTGACCTATGGGATGGTGTCCGAACTCTCTTCATCAGCGCAGGAGGTACATACTGCATCGCTAAATTCCTTCGAACGAGCCCCTATATGCCATGGATTGGCTTCGCTTTCGTCATGGGCCACATGTCCCTCAGCCATATCGCCCGTCAAGCTGCTGACGACCCAACAAAAGCTGATGTCACAGGCGCCCAGATGGTGCTTCTCATGAAGCTGAGTGCCTTTTGCTGGAATGTCGCCGACGGCCAACTCCCCGAGGAGTATCTATCTGATTTCCAAAAGAGGAACATGCTTAAGGAGCTGCCTCCTATTCTCGACTATGCTGGCTGGGTACTCTTCTTCCCTGCGCTCTTCGCTGGTCCGTCCTTCGACTTCACCGACTATCGTAAATGGCTTGACACAACTATGTTTGACGCGCCCAACGTCGATCCAGCAAAGAAGCCTCCCGTGAGGAAGAAACGAAAGATTCCTCGAAGTGGTGGTCCCGCAGCTTGGAAGGCAGCGAGTGGTCTTTTCCTTATTGGAATGTTCATGGGTCTAGGTGGTTCATACTACCCCGGCCTGCTCACCTCTGATATTTACATGAAGTACGGTTTCCTTCGCCGTGTATGGATCATGCACATGGTTAGCTTCACTGCACGACTCAAATACTATGGTGTATGGTACCTTACGGAGGGTTCTTGCATCCTCGCGGGTATGGGCTACAACGGTGTTGACCCTGTTACGGGCAAGGTCTTCTGGAACCGATTGCAGAACATTGACCCATGGGCTGTTGAGACTGCGCAGAATCCCCGAGGATATCTTGGAGGATGGAACATCAACACGAGCAACTGGTTGAGGAACTACGTTTATCTGCGTGTCACGCCTCGAGGCAAGAAGCCTGGTTTCCGCGCTAGTCTCATGACCTTTGGCACAAGTGCTCTCTGGCATGGCTTCTATCCTGGATACTACCTTAGCTTTGTCCTTGCAAGCTTCATTCAAACAGCTGCAAAGCGTGAGTCCATCTGATTCCGATTGGAGTCTTGAATGATACTGACAATTTCTAGATTACCGCCGTCATGTCCGCCCCTTCTTCCTAGAACCTATCACCGGCAACCCCTCGCCTAAGAAGAAGTACTACGACTTCGTATCTTACCTCGCTACTCAACTCACCTTCACATTTGCCACAGCACCTTTCCTGGTCCTTACATTACAGGGCTCGCTGCTAGCCTGGTCCCGCGTCTACTTCTACGCTGTCATCTGGACCTTTTTGTCACTCGTCTTCTTCTCTTCTCCCGGAAAGGCCGCCCTTAAGAAGCAGCTCGAGAAGCGTCAGGGCCGAGCTAGCGCCAAGTTGGTGCGCTCCATCTCAACGGATAGTCTAACGGGTAAGGAGCCCATTTTGGGTATCTCCAAGGATATCGAGGGCGATTTCAACGAGGCCGTGGAAGAAATCAAGGCCGAGATGGAGATGAGACAGCGAAAGGTCAAGGCCGAGATTGAGGCGCATAAGGCAAAAGCCAAGACGGGCTAATTAAGGCATCATGTGCTGCGGGTCTGTCATTAGCTATGGCAGCGTACTTACCACGGAGAACTTTAGTCTCAAACGTGTAAGACGCGTCCGGTGTTATGATGGTGTTGTTTCAGGTGTTCGGAGACAAAGACTCAAGAGCTGATTCTCCGTTGAGCACGGAGTAATGGCGAATTCATTGGCAAAAGTACACAATATCTTTAGCAGATTATACATCAGTTCATTAATCTATCTATATCTGGGATAATCTGTAGTGGTTTGCAGGTCCAGTTTATGTCCCTAAATCTGATTAATTACATGGTATCGTGAAATGAGTGTCTATGCTGACGGCCTTTTATCTCGTCTCAGCATTGCTGCCAAATCCAAACATAGT